ATGAATGCAACTTTAATGACTATCTCTGGTTACTTCCCGACTACACAGAAAATTAGCCAACAGTCCACGCAAAGATAAAAAAGAATAAAATAGATGCTCTTATGAAGATTCAAGTAAAACCTGATACTGATAGCTGCGCCAAGAAATACTTATTTCGTTGCCAATTTATCTCCGATAAATTGGCCGAAATTTGGCCTTATGTCGGATTTCCACTTTCAGCCAGCTACTTATTATAAATTTGAACGTTATTTCTTAAAACAAAAAATGGAGCTTGAAAATCACACTTTTTACTGGGAAACATAACTTTAAAAAGAGCATATCGTCACTTTTGAAACAGACACCCAAGCAGAACTTTAAAATGTTGGCTGAAAATGGTTGATTACTGTACCAATGACTACACCGATCTTAAAATAAATTTCGTCGTTAAACATATGGGACTATATCGGGTAATTGTATCACTGACTAATGAAGAAGGAAGGTCAAGTAACAGGACAGGACGCCAATTACCGCCATTTGAGAGGCGTTGGCCGATCCGAGAGATGCCCCCCCCCCGGCGGCGTCCGAAATTTAAGAAAAAAAAAAACGTTTTTTTTCGAGAGCAAAATGAACACTATACGACCTGTATGAGAACAAGTTAACTATGAACTGCAGAGTAGTACATACGTGAGTAATCGAAATGAGAGTAGTTTTTTAAAGCTATTTAGATGTATGCTCCCCTCCCGCTCAGGACTCAACGCAGCTTCCTGGATCCACCAGAGTGGAAAGGGGGAACTTGCAAGTTACATCACAGGCAGCACTCCCCGTAAGAACGGTTTCGGCAGCCAGGTCAAGGACCCCGCTACTTCCCATCTGATCAGGGCAATGTGACAATCACAGAAACCCTTTGATCGCTATAAGAACAGGATAAAGTAGTAGTCATGTAGCACCCAATCCTCCCATTTGGGCAAAATAGTAACAACGCTAATTTTCAGGAACAAGACGTCTGTACATTGAAACAGGGGAACTGTATGTAGGTAAGGTGAAGCAGGGCAATAATACACAAAAAAGCATCGTATTGGAAGTACCACAAGGAACAGTTTTTACACAAAAGCCAGTAAAAATCACTTCGCGCTCACAAATACAGCGCGTAAGCCAAGAATAAAGTACAAGTAATAACACTTATACCAATTTCACATGCTCACGGTATTTGCATGCACACGGGCTCCATCCACAATCTCTCAAACTTACGTCCAGACTCACAGACTCACTCACATTCACACTCATATGCTCACTCACATTCGCACTCGCATTCACACTCACGTGGTCAACTCAGGACGACGCGAACTCCCAAGCCAGACTTAGTCGCGGAGCACGCACGCACGCACGTACGCACGCACGTCACGTCGCCTCATCGCGACGTCGCCTCGTATATCGCTTCATTCCTCGTGCCAAGAGGCATGTGGGCACCTCAAGTGCGCGGAACCTCCTACCTAAAGCGATTTAGGCACCTCCAGTACCTTCATCCAAGGGCATGTTCTCCTGTAGATGGGTATGCCTACCTCATGGGCCCGGGGTCTCCTACCACCTACCCCATGTGACTAGCTCATGTCACAGCTCATCGCGATGTCTCCTACCTACAGCAGACCATGTGACGAGCCCATGCGATCCCAGCTTAGCGCGATGTCTCCTACCTAAACAGAGCATGTAGCAGCAGTAGCAGCAGCGCCCGCTGTCCTTCCGCACCGCCCGCTCGCTCCACCCGACCCCTCCTGTGTCTGGTATCATCGCTCTCTCCCCTCTCGCTCTCCGCGCCACGCCCTCCTCTCTCTCTCGCTCCGCGATGTTCCCTCCTCTCGCCGTGCATGTTGCTTCCTCCGGGGTCTCGCTAACTTGGAGTCCGCTTGGCCATCAGCGCCCACAGTCTACATGAGCTTCCGAAGCCTGTATTAAAATAGCGCAACAATGCGGTATTTCAAGTCACCACCGAGTCAGTCGGTTCATGACAAACCGACGAATGACGTCAGCCCCGTTTGGAATCACATAGTATGACAACGTTTGGCTCATATCGTAGAAACAGTATGCGGGGACCAAGTGTCCAGTGCAACACCGGTTGGCAGGCGCGCCCCATGTTGGGCGACAGTACGATACAAACAGACAACAAGAACATAGCGCCACCCCAGGCGTCTGGGCTCGGTCTCCGCACAACGCGACTGTGAACATTGACTGTGACGTTAACAATTGTAAGCTCAACATCTTAAAACACTGCGAGCACACCACTGAACGCCTGAACGGCTGCGAGCACCCATCGACGGAGCACCGTGTCCACCGCGGCACACATGGAGCACGTCCATAACACAAGACGTGTGAGCCGTCTGGGCGGCTGCACCAGTAGTGACGTCATAGTGACGTCACATCGGCGCAGCTGGCGCCGACACATCGGGTCCCGATTACCCGTACAGCCTCCATATGACGTCATGACATGTCCCTCGGACAGTCGCCCTGCCCGGCCGACAACATCCACACATAACATCCCCGGCGACGCCATACGAACATGCCCCCAATGACGTCATTTTGACGTCACGACTGCACCGAACCTGTGAGATCGGCCGTACACGGAATACGCGCCTGACTAGCCAGTGTAGGTGACCGTGACTCTACCTAGACAGACAGGCAACGTCCAACGTTCAACGTCCAACGTCCAACGTTCAACGTCACGGTCATCCAACACCAACCACGAGCGGTCCATGGAACATTTCCACATATACACGACCATTGTTGTGGATATTGGATCCAAACGTACACGTCCGTTGTTGTGGACATTAGCTCCACATATACACGGCCATAGTTGTGGACGTTGAGTCCACAGATACACGTCCATTGTTGTGGACATTGGATCCACACATACACGGCTATTGTTGTGGACATTGGATCCACACATACACGTCGTCCATAGTTGTGGACATTGGGTCCACATTTTCCACTATGGTCACTGAAATGCGCCACAACAGTGGCGATGGCGCTCAGCGCATTGACATCTACCCTACGTCCACCAGTGTAACTTCTAAACCATTCGTCGCGAGTTTGGCATCCTTTCTGACGTCATTTCTAAGATAAACACTCAAATTGTAGCCGTGTAAAAGCCACCGAAACACAGACGTTGAACATCCAGTGTGATGGCGGAGGCTCCCGAAGCACCAGTAACGCCCTCGTAACCGCGGCGGCGGCGGCGGCGCCCCAAGTTCCCCATGCTCGTCGCCCAATGACGCCCTAGTCCACCACTGACGTCATCCGCCCGGCCCGGCCGCGCCGCGTCTCGCCTGCACACGCCGCCGCCGCCGCTCCCTTTCGTCGATACCAGACACAATACGAGGGACCGGGTGGGGCTGGGGCGCCAGGCCTTCCTTCGCGCGCCCGGGCACCCCACTAGACCGAGTCTGTTCGCGCCCGAACGTGAGGCTTCACCTTCGCTGTCTCTCGCGCGAGGTACTTCCCCCGATATTGAGCGAGCTACACGGAGTCTGCACGAGCTCCTGGACTTACCGCTCCTATCGCCGACAGTGATTGTCCGCCCAGCCCGGCAAGTTTGCTCACATCGAAACTGATTTTCACCTGTCCCGCCGCAGTGTCAACGTAGTCGACAACCTCGCCCGCCCCGCCGCCGCCGCCGCCGCTACTAGACGTGGTCGTCGTGACCGACGAGTCAGGTTCAGCGTCTATGACCAGACGCGCTTCGTCCCCCGAGCTATGCCTCACGCCGCCGCCGGGCTCCGCCTCACCCCGCGTCGCTACCTGCGACGCGACATGCCCCGTCGCCTTGCCCATGGTGTCTTTGGACCACATGTCCGTGGACCTGCGGGACACCTCGTCGTCCTCCCCGGGCATCTCCTGGCACGCTTCTTTATAGCGACCCTCATCAAACGCCCTTCGGCACCGCTCCCACTGGATTTTCCTGGCGGCCGATCCGAGCGACGCCGGAGGCGTAGAACCGGGGGACTGCAGGGTCCGAGGCGCCCTCGAGGGCGGCGGTTGGGCGGGATACGCCGACCCCACCCCCGGAGCCGGGAGGATGCGGATCAGGTCCGGGGGCGCTGAACGGGGCTTGGTTGGTGCCGCCGACACCATGGAACGAAACTCGGGACGGACAGCAATTGTCGGCCGGCTGGTCGGTGGCGGGAACTCCACTCTCTCTAGTCTCTCAGCCCTTTCGGTCCTTTCAGCGCGTTCGGCCGCTTCATTCCTTTCCGTCTCTGCTCTTTCAACCCTCTGAGCCTCGGCTCTTTGCGCCTCGGCTCTTTGAGCCTCGGCTCTCTGCGCCTCAGCCCTCTGCGCCCTCTCGGCATGCTCCGCCAGCGTAGCCAGGTTCTCCGCAGCAGCAGCCGCCGCCCTGGGGTCATACTGCGGGGGTATACCGAGCATCGACTGCGCGTTCACCACAGTGGGAATGTACAGACGTCCAGACGCGGCACTGGCCGCGGCGGCGTAGTCGACAGGCGTCTGCCAGGGGGACTGGAGATCAGTGCCACCGCCAGCACCGCTGGAGCTCAGGGATAGGTCCATGGCGCCGTCGGGCGCGCGGTTCGGGGTCGGTGGCACGGAGATGGGAGGCGGCGGAGGTCGAGGGGTCATTGCTGCTGGCGGCGGCAGCGGCGGCGACGGCGCATGGTGGAGGCCCCTCCTCCGCCCGGGCTCCCTATCGGCGTACCGAATCACATCGGCAGGGTACCTGGCATCCCCGGTCAGTACCCGCGACTCGGCGGCAGCGGCAGCGGCGGCGGCGCGGCGCGACGGGCTCAGGCGGGGCCTTTCTGGGGGACTCGCCCTGTGACGATCGGGGGGACTGCGCGAGCGGCGCCGCTCCGGACTGACGTAGCGTCTCTCCGGACTGACGTAGCGCCTCTGGGGGCTGTAGCGGCCGCTGTCGGGACTGTACCGTCCCAGGTAGGGTTCACGTGCCGGCGGCGGCAGGCCGCGCTGTGGCAGATAGCGCGGCTCGGGCTCCAGTGACGGCCACGGCTCCTTACCTTGCTCCGAATCGAAATAAAACCGCTTCGAGTCGCTGGGGCCACCACTCTCGGCTGGCATCAGCATACGCTTGGTGGTACCTGCGGCAGGGCAAAGACCAGGGACGTGTCAGCATAGTATGGTTGTTACGGATGTTTGAAGGGTTCGCTATTTGCAAAGCAGTCTTGGTAAGTTTGTAACTTTGAACAGAAGATTTGTTGCGCAATATAAATCGCTGTTTCCAACTCTTTTTTTTGCAAGACATCAGAACGGATATCATCATCATCATCATCATCACATTTATTTGCATCACACACACAATGTGAGGTGACAAGGTGAGGTGACAGTTATAACAAGTAGCAGTACATATACATTGGGCCAGGTAGGTACATACATTAATGCCTGCAGAACAATGCTAGGCCACGCAAGGACATTCACAAGAGCCAATCATTGGACATTCTAAAACCATCGATAGTACCTATACTTTAGTTCAAGTTGTGTGCCTGGTGCTTTCATTTGTGACTGTTATGAGCCTAAGAATTTTACGCGAATGAGAGCAAGTGCTGTTGAGCAGGAATTTGATTGTGTCCACAATTCCATCATTCATACAAGAGCCACGAATAAGCTCACCATCAACATTGCCACATGCTATGTTCATTGTAACTTCAAAATTATTATTTCCGAGGCTATGTGTAAAGCTCAAGAATGATCCGTCTAACTCTGAAGGCGTAGTAGCTAGAACAGCAAGGCTGCGAATCATTATCTGCTTAAGCCTATGATCCGAGCGAAACAGATGAGCAAAGCCGCGAAGCGTAAGCGATCGGAGAAGCTCTTGAACCTTAGGAATGCCAAGCGCTGACATTAGGGCAGAATGATGGGCATACACAGGGAGCCCAATGGCTGCCTTTACACTAGAAGATTGAAATAATTCCAGGTTACTTATGTCAGCAGCTCTCAGTGGAGCAACGATGCTCCCAGATGTCAAAGAAGGGGCTACAATCGTGCGCCATAGAAAAGCTTTGTCTAAAGCAGACATAGCCTTGCTAAACATTCCTGCAGGTGTGAGCCCGTAAAAAGCTCCACGGGCACGTCTTACTCGAGACCGCGCATGCGCTGAGCCACGTAAATCAGTGCTGATGGTCACACCTAGATGCTGTGTTTCAGAGCGGATAGATAACTGCTGACCGGCCAACTGCCATGTAGGCAGCTCAGCTAAATGTTCAGCACCAAAGACAAGGCAATGACTTTTAGTTTTAGACTGATCAGGGTGAGTGAATTCGAGTCTCCAAGTGCCCGCGAACTCCCCCACAATGCTTAAAAGATGGCCAAGACTCATGGAGTTCGTAGAAACAAGCATTATGTCGTCAGCGTAACAGATCGAGGGGACATGATATCCCATTAGTTCAGCCCCAAGTCCACTATGATCAAGAGTCTGTATTAAGGGACGAAAAAATATGTTAGCCAGTACTGGGGAAAGGATGGCCCCTTGCCTCGTTCCACGTTCTAGTGGGAAACTGTCGGAACGAATGCCCATAAAGTCAATTTTGGCAATAAGCTTGCGATACCACGAGAGAAGCAGACACCACGAGCGATTCTCAAGCAGATCAAGAAGACGATAGAAAAGACCGTCATGCCAAATGCGGTCAAAACACTTTCTGGCGTCTAAATTAGCGACGAATACAGGAGATCCCCTTCTTAGGTGCCACTGGACAGTCTCAGAAAACAAAAGAGAGGCTTCGGCTGTTCCACGCTGTGGAACAAATCCAAACTGTAGATCGTGTGGAACGAACGATGTTTCAATTTCCTCTAAAACCATTATCTCTAACAATTTAGAGAAAGTTGAAATAAGTGAAATTGGTCTATAATTGTCCATATCACTTGGGTCAAGTCCAGTTCTTTTAAGCAAAGGCTTGATGATGCTGGTTGCAAATGATGAAGGGACATCCAATCTAGCAAAGCAAGCTGTAAGGAGGTGAGCTAACATGGCAAGCAGTTCAGGCGTGGAGCCATACAGCAGGTGCTCTGTGGTGATTCCGTCTGCTCCTGGAGCAGAATTACGCCTAAGGCGCAATATAAATCGGGAAACATCCGATGCGGTAACAGTACGAGGTTCGTCACCATTGCACCCAGCCTCTAAACGAGCAGATACAGCATCGCGGATCCAGTGCTGGTTTGGTGACAATTCAGCTACATTGTCCTGATGAATACGAGAAAAATGGGATCTGAAGCTGTCTGCGTCTACGGAGCATTCAGCAACCGTCACACCTCTCCGAGCTCTACTAACATGTCGCCAAAAGGAGCCTAAACTTTCCCCACGGCGAAGCTTGTGTAACAGCCGTGCCTCATGATCAATTTTCGATCGAGACGCATGCTTCCGCTCGCGCCGGTAGGCCCGTCTTGCTTCGCGATAGCAGTTATGCACATGCGTGTATAGCCGCTTACCAGATTCATGCCAGAGGTAAAGCCAAAACCGGGCTCTATCACGATATATGTATCAAATAAAACAGATTGACTGCAAAGAAAACTTGACATTATGGTTTAAGTGCGAAAATCAACCATATCATACACCACGTCTAAAAGTCGTCTATTAAAACTGTACAAATCAAGCTAAAGGTGTACTAATTGTTACAAAATATGGCAAAATAAACAGAAAATACTGGGCAATGCACCATACCGATAAAGTGAGCGATATTTTGAAAGTATTTAAACACAGGGTTTTAATATACACTCCCGCTGATCACGTTCGGTAAATCCACTTCAGTGGTTCAGCGATGGTTTCAGGTGTATCTCAACACCGGATTACGCTGCTTTATAGGTTTATAGGTACACTTACGCTGATCGTCCTTGGTGTACTGAAAGCGTTTAGGGCGATGGTTTGCGTGTTTATCAACACCGGGTATAAAAACATACTTACGTTGGTCGCACTCGGTACATTTGAAGTGTTTTGTGATACTCGGGTGCAGTATAGTGGTTAAGCGCAGCATCCAGTTTATTAAACACTTGTAGGCATACACTTACGCTGATCGCGCTCGGTGTACTGGAAGTGTTTCGGCTCGGAAACACAGCCATCAGAGGGTCGCTCCAGCTGGATGAAAACCCGCACCGGACTCCGGATCTCCTTATCGCGGTATGGCGGTGTCCTGAGGGGGAGGAGAAAACACACAGGTAAAGGGTGAGAGACGGGGTAGGGAGGGAGATAACACTAACGGGGAGTTATAACGGAATACTGAGGGAGTAAGCACACGGGGAGAGTTAAAGCCGGCGTCACGAAGGGAAACACATAAGTACGGGGAATAGAAGACGCAGTACTGAGGAAGAAACACAAAGAGGGAGAGCTAGATGGGTCCTGAAGGGAAAACACATCAGGGAAGAATTAAATGGGGTCCTGAAGGGAAACCACGTAAGTGAAGAGTTAATGATACGGTCCTGATGGTAAAACACATAAGGGAAGAGTTAGATGGGGTCCTGATTTTTCCGTTATATTGAAAAGACTCGCTTCGCTCGCTGCACTCGCTCGCTCGTAATAAATGGTACTACTCACTGGAAGATGATGGCATATTGATGATGACACTTGATGACACGGCCGTAGTCCTGCCAAATAGTCTGGTGGCTGCTGTCCTCCTCGAATACCAGAACCTTGATGTCATCTGGCGAGGGACAGAAAGCGAACCGGTTACAGAGGGGATACAGAAACAGCTGCACGTCCTAACAAGCTACTCAGGCGAGCGACATTCAGCATAATTCATTCTCAGTGGATCGCGCCGGTTGCTTTCACGGTCCACAGCTAAAAACATGTCGTTTGTTATGTTACACACACAACTAACCACTATACGCTCAATGCAAGCAAGAAGAAAGATCCGTACGTTTAAACAGCCCATCAAAGCAGAGATACAGTTGGTAATCTACAGTTTCTCGGCAACTGGAAGGACTGTCAAAGAAAAAAATGCTTGGCGTGAGGAAGAATGCGTGAAAAATGTCACGACGGCTATCATGTTCATTTAACATAGACGTATCATCAGAGGGAGTCAGATGTTTTAGAGGTATGAAGCTATAAAACAAGGCATGTTGTCTCCCCGCCATATATGATAAAGGGCCTATCCTCCTTTCCGATTCAATTAAAATACAGTCTGATATTGAGGCTTACTCGAAACCTCACAGCCGCCCTGAGCATAAAACGCTGCTATGCAGCAGTCACCATTGCTCACAGACGGACTTGTCAAGAAATGCGCAGAAGGCAACTGAGCAAATGTCAAACAGTGATTAGTCTTACTGCTATTTTGTCAAACACGTCAGGCGTTTCAATTTCAAGTTCCTTCATAAATGCATTTCGCTGAGTCGTTTTGCGTAACAGACGACGCAAAACAACTCTGAGAAGAGTTAGCGAGAACGGTCGCAGCACAACATCCTACAGAACTAACTAAATAATTCAATTACTATGACAACGTTAACATCACAGAGCTTTCTCGAAAAATCAGTCACATAATGTATCCGCGAAACATTGTCAATGAACCATAAAAGCCATTGCGGCGTAATGATGATACGACGCTGTTAGCCTATAGGCTACAATCAGCCGACATCTTTCCTGACATAAACCATGTTTATCCATATCTACAGTAGGTACACAGTAATTCACATACCGTGAACATTCTTCCATTACCACCAAAAAAAAAAAACATCCCTAATCGCTTTGCATAAGTCTGCAGCACATCACCTACACCACACAAAGCTTTCCACAAATTTCGCCATATTTGCCCCACCTCGAATTGGCACACACTTCAATACCGGATGCACGTGCGTGCGCAAACTACCCAGAGAGCTCTGCCGTTAACGATCTATCCCGGACAGGCATTGCCCGGTAACAGTTCTCGATCTACGCAGCGCCGACGGATCAAAGCCGGTTTCCATGGCAACCGATGTGACGCCAATGTATGAGTGGGCGAGCACCGCGACAGCAGTTCTCAAGGCGCTCAAGGCTTCTGAATGGGTCGCTCAATACCCAATCGCGACCGAGGGGGGGGGCCGGGATCACGTGGGTCACGTGGTACGTGCTGACGTGGCGCACGAGGCACGATAGAGGTTGTTAGTACTTAGTAGTGATGTCAATTACGGAAAATCGGAATACCGATACCAAACCAAATACCAACCAAAATCGTGGAGAAATACCGAAACCAAACCATCTTGGGAACATGAGGAAAATACCAACTTTTTACCGATTTCTTAGCCTCTTAAACATTAGCGAGGGGTAATGATACCAACAAAATACCAAACACATTAGGATTGAAATACCAAATACCGAGTTGATATCGGTTTGGTATAGGTATACCAAAAAGTTGGTATCCGATTGACATCTCTAGTTGTTAGACAATGAGGCGCGAGTATGGAAGCAAGCTTGTAGAGTGATACTGGCTGAAATGGTACACACCTGAACGATACCAGACTGGTTTCGGTTTGACAGTGAGCCTGACGGGCTCATGCTATGCTATGCTATGCCATACTATGCTAAAGCTATGCTATGATAGCTAGTAGCAGACCATATGACGGACTACGCGCACATAATACGGATGTCAAGGGGCATTTTTTATGCTTCTTTAACAGGCATTGCTTCGGCTGGTGTCAAAACTTTATTAGCTGCAGACTGTTTGTCTCAAACTATGGCAGTAGAAGCCTAAAACAGCCATCTCAGTCGAGGTGAAACGCAATGAATTGACCGCTACACGTCCCAGGCTAAGCTAATGATCAACACCACGTCACCCTGTCAGGGCCAGATGTGGTAGGTACTCGGTGCAGCTCAAAGGCCTCAATATGAACCAATCTGGGTGAGGCCAAAGGCGTAGATCGCGGTGCGCTGAATGCTATTTAATATAAAAATTGTTACATTCTGGACGGCGTAATTTCAGACTCTGCGGCGTAATTTCAGACTCTGCGGCGTAATTTCAGATTCTGCGGCGTAATTCAGACTCTGATTAAGACATCCGCAATCCACGGACTAGCCTGGAGGAATCGGGAAGCCCGCTCGATGGGCGCTGGGCCACATGCATCGGACACCATTGTGTCCGCTGCATTCATTCCAAAACCTATCAATGATCTGCTTTCCAAACCATGCCTGCTCTTGTTTTCCACTTGCGCATCCGTCCCGTGTTTCCAAACGAGGTAAAGCTACAACTTCTGTCAAACCTAACTGGTTTCGCTTTTGAAATATTATATTATTCATGGACATTCATGATAGCCCTTTATATCAAGTGCGCGTTACTGTTGATTTTGATTTCCTTCAATGCATCAAAAGCAAGATATAAAATTTTCTTGGCAGCTCTCCTCCCATTACGTCAACGAGTGCCACATTGATTACATACTCCAGCAATACGCTTCGTAACACTGAGCCCACGCCCTCCCGGCCACCGAATCCACACCTTCTCACAATGAACCCATACCTTCTCACACAGTGAACCCACACCCTCCCGGCCACCGAATCCACACCATCTCACAGTGAACCCATACCTTCTCACACAGTGAACCCCATCACCTTCTCGCCCACTAAACCCACATCTTCTCACAATGAACCTACACCTTCTCACACAATGAACCAACCTCAAAATGAACCATCACCTTCACACCCACTGAATCAAGACCTTATCAGTTATCACCCAATGAACTCGCACCTTGTCAGAGTAAACTCACACCCTCTCACACAATGAGCTCACACTACACAATGAACCCACACCCTCTCACACAATGAACCCACATCTCACACAATGAACGCATATCTCCTCACAATGAACCCACACCCTCTCGCCCACTAAACCCACACTTACTCACAGTGAACCCACATCTTCTCACAGTGAACCCACACCTCCTCACACACTCACACAGTGAACCCACTTACTCTTTCGGACGCGCTCCACGAGTAGCCAGATCTCCTTGTTTCCTGTACACGGACTGTGGGCTTCTGAGAGCTGAACGATCTTCAGCTCACCCGTCTGCGCAGACTCTGAGGGAGAGGGGTCACGGGTCAGGTCACAGGTCAGAGGTCACAGGTCAGAGGTCACATACAGAGATGAAAGATCACTGAGCAGGAGTGACGGATCAGGTCACAGGTCACTGGTCACAAGACAAAGATCTGTCACGGGTCATGTTACAGGTCACAGGTCAGGGGTTAGAGGTCAGAGGTAATAGACCAGAGGTCAGTCACCGGTCAGGTCACAAAGCACAGGATACTTCACAGTATCCACATTACCAATCAATTTTCTTTTCACTCCCAGCCCCATTTAGCAGTTTTCCTTCAGACCTGGTTTATTTATTTATTTATTTAGACATACAACGACTCCACAAGTAGGTGCTGTGGCTATTCTGCCGAGGTTTATCATAATATACAAGCCCTAACACATATTGAGGCATTCCCTCGCACATAATGCTCCATACAAAGGTGCCCCTTTACACTCACTGCCCATATAGATGTTTCCCTTTACACTAACTGCCAATGTAGTTATTTCCCTTCACACTTGCTGCCTATACAAAGGTTTCCCTTCACAATGACTGTCCATGCAGAGGTGTCCATTCTCACTCACTGCCCATATAGAGGGTTCCCTTCACACTGACGGTCTAATACAAAGGTTTCCTTTCGCCCTGACTGCCCAATATAGACGTTTCCCTTCCCACTCACTGCCGTTGTAGATGGCATCGCTGAAGATGGGCTGGCAGATCTCTTCCATCCGCATCGTCCCCGGATTCTGGTAGAGCGCCCGGAACCTCAGACACACGCGGTTCATGTTGATGCGCTGAGACTCCCGGTTCGCCTGATCACGAGCCTGGAAAAAACGCGGAGAGGGAAGGCGAAGTCAGTTGAGGAGGATTAGTTGGTGTGTTTCATCATTGTCCTTGGTGTTAGGATCAAGTTTTACTGCCAGCCTGCATCTAGAACTGGCTTTGTGGGTCCATTGTGTTACCATTGACTAGTTTTTTCCACTTAAGTAAAAAAAACAACACATTTCTAAGCGCAATGTGACAGATCGCACCCAGCCCTATTGTGTACTACAAGCATAACACCAAAAAGAGAGAGAGAGAGAGAGAGAGAGAGAGAGAGAGAGAGAGAGAGAGAGAGAGAGAGAGAGAGAGAGAGAGAAAGAGAAAGAGAGAGAGAGAGAGAGAGAGAGAGAGAGAGAGAGAGAGAGAGAGAGAGAGAGAGAGAAAAAAAAAAAACATTAATAGAAAAATGAGTGCATGATTTCCTATCCAAGTCATAATAAGTCACGAGCGCTCGTCCTCCCTCCCCTCCCTCTCCTACCGGGTGCAATGGCATAGTCGTCGTTACCCCCATTACCCCACTTTCCCCCATTACCTCCTGTCGATCGGCCTCGGTGGGGTTCCACAGCTTCCCCATGTTCATACGCTCCATCTCCATCTTCTTCTCGTCCAGCTTCCTGTTGGTGATCTTTTCCACCATCTGCTTCTTGGCCGTGTGGATGATGCCTAGGCCCTGGAAGCTGAGGGAGGGAGAGAAGCGTTAGGGGAAGACCGTAGTGAAGAGCCTAAGACAATTGGATGATGCCCTTGCCCTGCAAGCTGAGGAGTGAGGAGCGTTAGTGGTTGATGGTAGTGAGGAGGAAGCTAGTGATGGTAGGGCAGGTATTACAGTATGCTGAATTTTCTCTGCCCAAAGAGAGCAGATCATCCAGTTGCGTCGTCAAATCTGGCATCAAATAACTCATGTTCGTGGTACCATATTTTATTTTTAATGAACGTCGTAGCAATTCATAAAAAAAGAGAATAAAATAGATGATTTGTATCAGTATTGTGGTTGTTGTGGTGGAAGTGACAATAGTACAGAGAGACACATACGTAGTGGAAATACATACAAAACTCTGTGAGGACTTCAAGCCCCTACCCGGAGACTGGGCTAGGCCCGTTATATTTTTCTTTCTTTCACATAAGTAGGTACATTCATAAATGGGAATGGGGATGTTCCCCTTTTCATCGCGTCTGGCACCGCCTCTGTCACGCGCAAAGCACCACTGTGGACCTATGATAGCGTTAGGTCGGTATCGGTATCGAGTACGCACACACACACACACACAAATATCACACACAGAGATATGAGGACCTGCGACCAAATGAGGACCAAGGGACGTCTCCTTCCAAGGTTTGAGCGGTCTAAACTAAATCGTGTTGTAATGCCCTTGGTGAAAAAATGTGAATAAATCACGCTTTATTAAAGTGTAATTCGGACGATGCCAATAGGTCAGTATTATCCGAATGAAGCGCATAGGTTAAATGCAATGCTGCAAATGTGTGACCGTGCCCTAAATGGGCACAATTTCAATGTAGTTGCTCTCGCTCAAGTCTCGTCATTCGATAGCAAGCAGAAAACTAGCATTCCTCAGAAACTGCATCCTTCCATCGTCCGATTCAGATTGAATTTTACTGTCATAGAGTTTCAGAGATGAGCCGAGGTGATCAATTTATAAGGTCAATGCACCAAACAAAACTAACCGACGAGCATTTTTTATCGAGAACGCGATTGTATTTTCAATATCGACGTAATACTACGAACACGGACGTATTTATCATGCAACCGGCGACTTTATAAATTGTCTTTTGAATAACAGTTGAAACCTCACTGCGAAAAACTCGTTTGATCTGATTTTGTAATTTGCACGGAAATAACTCAAGACATGCTGGGAAACCCCACACGTGAACAGATCTGTCCGAAAAGAGAGCCGGTTGGACCGGATAAGCAGGATTCCTACCACCTCCGAGCTCGCACACAGTCCGTTTTTCAACTCCAAGTACAGTGAGAGAGCGGCAATGTTCGAAAAAATGTGTATATGGAGTGCAGCAAAAGTACATGAAGTACTTAACATGCAGCGGTCCTCACGTTTAATTTCATATATAAAACTTCTAGAAATGCATATTAGTCTATACGCAATGTTCTGAAACGCTCAGAGTTTACACATATAAAAAGCTTTGTGTTAACACAGACCGCAGTGATCAATGGTCATCGCAAAACTTGCCTTACATTACTCTCAAATCCCGATCAATATCATATTCTTACACGCAGCCCTCACCATAACCTTCACCTTCACCAATTCTCTCGCACGCCCTTCGCACTAATCCCCCACCCCACCGCTCACCATTTCTTTTCTCTCCTCCCACCGCTCACCATTTCATCTCACACCCGCCGCTCACCATTTCTCCCACCCGGCCGCTTGCCATCTCTCCCCGCTCACCATTTCTCCCCCCCCCCGCCGCTTACCATTTCTCCCCCCACCCCCGCAGCTCACCATTTCCCCCACTTCCGCCGCTCACCATTTCTCCCACTCCCATTTCTCACCATTTCTCCCACTCCCACTTCTCACCTGGCCGTGAAGTCGTTCTCCTGATCGACTCTCATCTCGGCGTAGCCTCCTGTGCAGTTCCTTCCCTGGAGTGTATGAACATGCGGAACCGGAGGAAGGTTCGAGGCGCCTTCCTCCACTGTGAACAGCTCGCAGCGGATGGTGGCCCGGTGGTTGAAACCGTCCAGCTGTGGGGGGAGAACGTGGTGGTCATGTAGTTGAACAGCTTCAGTTGAAGTGAGGAGAGAACGTGGAAGTCAAGAAGTGTTTAACATCTCGCCTTCAAGTTGAAGGCGGGAAGAGGGTAGGTTTTAGATCGACCCCCCTCCCCCCCCCCAGCTGTGTGTGGGGAGAGGCGTGTTAGACACGTGTTGGAACCTGTGTAACTGAAGGTGGGGAAGATAACGCGATGTTCGGAGCGGAAGTGGCAATGTCATTTACCGAGGTAAAATGACGTACCTAAGTGGGGAGTGGAGTGATGTCATCGACTCATCAATGATGCAACTAAGGCATATTCTGTAGTTACACGTTGGATGTACTATTATCATCATCAGCTATGAATAAGGAGAACCGATAAATGAATACAAGCTAAAAATGATGCAAACAAGCTTAATCACAGGAGTAAATTGACATCAAACCCACTAAGCAAAGGCTGTTTTGATGTAAGAGCATCTCACAATGCCATTCAGAGCATGTCATCATCATTTAGTTTCTGAGGCACCGCTTCGGCTTCCAATATCAGTTTCCTGAAAAACCCCCACCTGCTGTAATCCCTGTAATGCAGACATCCCAGCGGCCGCTCGGCCATCCATTATATCAGTGTCAGAAGTGCCCCGGGCTATACAACGACCCAATCAGACAGTTTCCCGTGTCCCCGATAGGTGTCACTGCGATCGCCGACCAACAGCGTTCGCGTCCCTGAGGCGGCAGACTTAGCGCAGTGAACGGTAACCTAAAGTCAGGGTTTCTTTTTTGTGATATCACAACATCCTATCCCATTTCCCAACTCCACCCCGTTTCCCAACCCTACCTCATCTCCTAACCCATTTTCGTATCTCCCCACAGCCCTATTTCTTTTCGGCTTCGTCTTATTCGCCAGGTAGGGTATCCACCGTAGTTTTATGGTGGATCCATCTCGCGTTCCGAATATCGTAGGCATAAATGCTGTTTAAGCGCAGGCAGCCACCGAATGTTAAGTACGCAAGTTGTGATGCTTCGATTTGTTGAACACTGGCAATGATGTAAATTTAACGAACTATTACTGAACGCACGCTCTAAATATAATATATACCGACGTTTATTGACAACCATCCAATAGTCACCTTTCCCAGAACACAACGACATAAAAACATATCTAAAAGAAAGCTCGCGAGCAGCACAACACGAACAGGATGCAATATTACCCTAGGACATATAAGCTGAGATCAAAGCACTCGCCGTTGCCTAGCAACGTCTGCGTTACCTAGCAACGCCGGCGGGGGACTCTGCCGATATCCGCCTCGGGCGGGTTCGTACGACAAAGGTCATCACCTTGCCTGACGACCTCTGTAGCTTACATAAGCACAGACATTGCCCTGGCGCCAGTTTAAACCAAAAGGGGTCTGCAAGGATGCAACCAATGAATGTACTAAAACGAGATGTACTGAAGGACATTCAATAAAATGGGCGAAATTTAGAAGTAGAGGTGAATGAGAAGACCATGCAAAGTCAACTGCTGATATAAGTAGGTACTGAACACAAACTGCTTGCGTTATGTATAATGCTTCAACTTCAATTCGTCCAGTAGAGCAAACAAAACGAATGCCTACCAAACTACCAAAAATTGTAAAGCATCGACATTCGACACTAGCCCAAACCGCTTATACAGTTAGTAGGCCTAAACTTTTCCATGTCAAGCGTCAATGTATTTGCATCTTGCGAGTGCCACCAATTTACATGGGAAGATCAGTGAACTTTCTCAGCCAGTCACACCAGTTCCGAGGCTGATCAAAGATCATGCATCATTCAACAGTAAAACTTCAATTTGAATACCAAACTTGTGAGGCATTGCCGCGGGCTTAATGACTTTTAAACATGTTTCAAAGGAGCCATTAATCTAAAAGCGACATCAAAGAAAGAAAATGTTAGAAAGTTAAAATGTAAAATGGCGTCAAGCTTAACATTTAAGCACACTGTTGTTCAGTTGCTAACGATCCGGGAATAATGTCCTTGGAAAATTGCATTCATTTTTGACACCATATGAAAGCATCAGCACAGCACAATAAGTCTCATACAATGATTTGTAGGCGAAGAACGTCTGTTTTACCTTTTGAGTTTCACTTTCCGCAAACGCCTCACCTAAAATCCAGACCCCCCCCCCCTAACGTATGATAGCGGTAGCGTGTCCAATGATTCGATAGCCGCGCTCAACGTGTCGATAGCAAAAACGTGTTCAGCACACCGATAGCAGAGTGTAAGAATAGCTCGATAGGCGCCCACGAGTCAACACTCGACAGGCCGCTCCGCTGCTGGCGATACAGCAGATCGATAGCACAGATTTTGGGATATCCTGCACAGGAGCGAACCGGGCAGCATCTTTGCTTACAGATGGATAACTTTACCTTAACCCTATTCCTGGCGGGGGGGGGGCCTCAGGAGCCCCCCCCCCAGAGGTTTTTTGGTTATTTCTCCCAAACGCGTTGAGCTAGGAAGCTCAAATTTTCTGACTTTTCCTAAAAGGCTTCTACGCAACATGTCTGAAAATTTTGAGTTGATCTGACCTCAGGTCAGGTCACCAGAGGCGGTTTGGTGACCCTACCTCAGAAAAGTTTGCAATCACGCCAGAGCTAGAGTTTTTGACCGATCAATTTCTTCTCTTCAGGCTTTAGTTAGGGTACCAGTATGTGCAATTTTTATATCTCGGAATTTTGATATCGGTGACCTAAGGTCAGGTCAGTTTCGCGACCTCCCCATTATAAGTCAATTGGGGAAAAATCAACTCCCTGTTTTTACCACTAAAACGGGTCGGAATGGCCCCATATACCATACATGACTTCATATATGATCAACCTTCACTACCTTGAGGTCTGTTTTTCTGTTGGGCAGCTGTGAGGTCATGTGACGTCATCAAAGGTCACCAAAGGTTTTTGGCCAATAACTCCGTACAGGAACAAGATACAGACGCGTGGATGGTCTCATTGTGTTCAGCTCGTCAAGACGCATCGAATGATATACATGATGACCTCGAGGTCACGTGACCTGAGGTCAACCTTTGACCTTGACCTTTCGAGGTCAACATATACATATCATTCGATGCGGATTGACGAGAGGATCACGATGATGCCCTTAGTTTGTTCTTATCTTGACTAATTCGAAAGTTATTCGAGAAAAACTCTCTCCATATCTAGCGCCGCCATTTTGACTTTTTCGACCCCTGTGACGTCATCTTTGACCTGACCTGAAAATGACCTTTGTAAAAATTGTAGATCTTGACCGTGCGTATCCGATGCCGTTTACCGTTTGTCGCTGCGATGTGTAGTTTTTGAGATCTGAAGGGGGGGCCGAATCGGCCCCCCCCCCGCCAGTTTCTTGTCCCGGCGGAGCCCGCCAGGAATAGGGTTAAACCTGGCGTCAACTGCAACCTATTACCTAGATACAAATACACACGGTTTAACTGAAGTATACGGTCATTTGTTACAATTTTGTTGGGCTCGCCACTTTTGGTAGTATTCCTTCACAGCAGCAAATTGTTGGTAGCATTCTGAAAAACAAAACATTTTAGAGCCGAATTCCGCCAAAGTTATGCACAATTAGCCGTACTGCGCCTGGGTGAAACCATTTGACTAATGCCTGCCTATTCCGTCAGCCACGGATGACTGCGAATTCACTTCATACACCGTGTATAAGTACACACTGTAAATACGAAACAGTTCAAGCGAATTCCAACTGATGTCACCGGCCACTGCGCCACGCTGGCTAAGTTGAGGTCAGCGCACCCAAGCCCGCCTCCCCTCCCGTCCACTCACAAGTTTGGACCGGGGGTTCAGAACTGCGCACAATCACCTGTGTGAATATGTGTGCAAATGTGACGCGTGTGTGTTGTGTGTAATGTTGTGCCATTCGTTTCACCTGACTCGGCAGCCAATAATAGCCATTTTCGGATGGATCGGCTTGCCACGATAAGTACAATACAATACAATACAATACCTCTTCCATTCCTCCTTCCTTTTCCGGAAACTCAACCCGCACCTTCAGCAACTTTGGCCCTCTTAGAAGTTAGAACACAATCCGCACCCACAGCAACTTCACCTCCCTCCCCCCCCCCCTACTAGCACAGCTCCCGCACCAAATCAACTATCAAGTCTGGAACGTTGGCACCACCCGCTGACTTATAAAAACTGCACCCACTGCATCTGCCTCCTCCCCTTACAAACAGCCCGCACCCTTTGCAACTTCATCTCCCTCCCCCTAACACAACCCTCTCTTCTGATACAACCCTGCACCCTCCATCACTCCGCCCCTGCACCCTGCACCACTCCGCCCCTACACCCTCTATCACTCCGACCCCTCCCCACCCACCCCTTGGAGGTCGAATCCGCCTCCAGAAAGCGTATAAAGAAGCAGACGCTGCAGACTCCTCTGCATCACGTAATCACCGGGATTCCCCGCGCCCGGAGGCTCGTGCCAGACGGGGAAATCCCGCCCGCGGCGCGGCCGCAAGGTCACCCGTCAAGGTCACCGCACCGCGCAATAAGCCAGAACGGCACGGCGGTGGCATGGGCGCTCGCTCTCTCTAGAGACGCAAGAACAGAAAGAATGCGCGAGCAAGATAAGCAGCGGTAGTGCACTTTAGATTCTTCTTTCTAGTGTCTGAGAGATTTAAGATGGCCTACATTCAATTGCACTATTTTATAATTTACTTTCATGGTAGATTGTTTAACACGCGCAGTGGAAGGGTTGCGAGTACTACGCCCAGTGGAAGGGGGGGCGGATGTCGCCCCCCCTTAGATCTCAGCTCCCACTGGAGCTAGAAAGACGAAATTTGGAGGGTAGGTGGGGGCCATGGGGACCTCTGTTGTGTGTGAATTTCATGACCCTAGGTCAATATCTTTAAGGTCAAATGAGGTCAAATGTGGTCAAATCTGCCATATTAGCGACTTTTTTTGCGTTTACACGCCGATAACTCAAAAAGTTACCGGCTGATTTTTAT